CACAGGGAAAGGATTTCTGTTTTCACTTTGTCCTGTTCATCGCCTTTCACACACTTGGTTATTTTGTTTAAGCACATTTAAAACTAGAAATGAAAGGTGAGACACACACTTCTTTTGGTGTTAAAGGTAACAGCTTTAAAAACAAAATCCACACACACCACACCCCCCCCCCGACCTTAATATGTGTTCATTTCAAATACATTGGGATCCAGAATCCCTTGCAAACCTGCTTCTTGATAAACCATTTAAGTGCCTGCTCTGCGTTTAACTTTGAGCCCATGCGAGTCAGCTAGAACAGGGTAGTTGTAACATGTTTATCGATTCACCGGTGAGTGACCAAGCAGTGAAAACATGCATAATTACCCATTTGTAAATTATTGCTTTTTTTTTTGTCATGCATCCAATTATTGCAGTAGTTGTGAGATGTAGTTTATACACAGACACACACACACAGACACACACACACACAAAAGCCCCAACAAAAACAGTCCTCTCTGAATGAGAACACGCTATTATACTTTCCCCTTCTTCTCCTACTCTCTGAAGAGTTCAAGAAATGCAAATCTTGCTTACAGTGGCCAAAAAACCCAACAACAACAACAAACAACCTCACCCACTGCCACCCAACAACCTATAATAAAAGGCTATAGACAATACTTCTGTAGTGTCTCTTGTGTATTACATGCAAACTACTTTTCCCCTTTTCCACATTTGGCTGAGGCCAATTAAGTCTTTTCACATCCATGCCGCCTGCGTCACTGGGTGGCCTTTTTCTTTAAAATTCAAAAATAGGGGGGGAAAAAAAAATCTTTAGTATGGCTAAACCTGGCCGCATGTACAGCCCCAGCTGCTGAAGACTCATCAACTCTTTCAAGACATCTATGTGGCTTAATAAGGCTACATGGGATCCTCATTATCCTGAAGCTCATGGCCTTCACCTTGCATAAGCAGCACTGGCTTTCCCATCAAAGACGAGTTGGAAATAGCCACATGCTTACATTTGCTTGAGGATGTGTCATGTCCCTCTCACCCCCTGCTTTCTCTGTCCCTACGCTCCTGGCTTTTGGGCTAGCAGGGCTTGCAGGGTCCTTTTGTGTTACAGGTGGAATAACAACGTTGTCCATGAACACGTAGCACTGAATAACTGATCATGCATCGGATCAAGGGGTTTGTACTTTCCACCACATGTACTTCCTACTCTTTGGCCATCGATGCCCATTTGAAAGAAGAAGAGCTGTTAAAATGGAGCTGACGGAAGTTTTTGAAAAGTACAAGGAAGTGTTTGCATCTTTTTTTTTTCCTATTAATAAATACATCGTATACTTATCATCTTACAAGCAACAGTAAGACAGTCACATCGAGGCCTTAAAAATTGCATTTAGACTCTGAATATCTTCTTTTCTTTACACCTTAACTTTTGCTGTGCTTGGCACTTGCCATCCAAACGACTCCCCCATCAGAGGACGGTTTTATCCTTTCGTCTTAGTGCTCATGGGCTTCAGGGGACAAATTAAAATAATACCCATGAGACAGAGAGACAGCAGACTTTCTGGCAACGTGGGAGCACGCATGGGCATGGGTGTGAGGAGGGGCCAGGAGCACACGCCTGCTTCAGCAGGGAGAGAGGTTTCTGCAGTGTACTGTCAGTGCACCGCTAATATAACTAACAGGAATGGCTGCTTTTTAGTCAAACCAGGAGGAACCAGTAGGTACAATTCCTCCGTGTGCTAGCCTGTAAGTCACGTATTTTCTTTTTCTTTGTGCCTTTCTTTACCCCCCCCAAAAAAAAAAAATAATGACCACCTTCGATGAGGCACTTAGGGCCATGGTTTAGTGGGCATGGTGGTGTTGGGTCGATGGTTGGACTCGATGATCTTAGAGGTCTTTTCCAACCTCAGTGATTCTATGATTCTATGATTCTATGACTCTGTATCAAATACATATACACCCCCATATATATGCATGTATATATCCACACACACGTATATGTGTGTATGTGTGGACATGCATATATGCAAACACACACACACACACTCTCTCTCTCTCTCTCTCTCTCTCCCCCACCCACCCCCCAATACATAAGTTACCAAAAAACAATTGTTTAGCCTGTATTAATTGTGCATGCAATTAATGAAAAAGCTGAAAATCCTCCCCCCACCCTGGTTTTGTTGTCTTTTGAGAAAGGAGTAAGAATTATTAATAAAGATCAAAAACTTATTTCTACATGAGTCATCGTGTGGAGTGTCAGCTGTCACTTAGGCCACTTTCCCAGCCACTTGCCTTGATGTAACTTCATATATTCAAATATTGGCGCTGGCCTTATTGTAGTCTTTAATGGCTGAATGTCAAACATCTCCAACAGGTTTTCTACGTGTTCCTCCATCTAATTGTCAGAAGTCAGTCCTGCATCTTTGATCATCAAAAAGAGGAGTAAGAAAAGATTATTGATTGCTCTTAGCTTTTCTATAAATGGGAAACACAAAATGATAACTATACCTGTTTCTCTCCATCTCGCTTGCTCTCTACAGGTGTTGTTCTGTCTATCTATCGTTACATATGGAACCATCTATGCTGGGAGAGAGCGTGAGTGTGTTCAGATCTTGTCTTTATTTATGTGCAGTTGGCAGCATGATATTTTTGGGTGTGACAGTTAAACTGGACAGAGACACACACAAACCTTAGCTATGTAGGAGTGTTGTATTTGATTCATTAGTATCTTTTATCCAGTGAATGCTCACTTCTGAAGGAAGGACAGTCAGAAATGGCGCTGTATATGATGAAGTACAATGTTGTATGCCCCTACATTAGACACTGGCCTTCTAGGGAAAAAAATGAAATAAATTCACATGTACTTGGTGAAGTTGAATACAAATTTCAAAAATTCTCCTGTACTCAGGACCAGCTTTTTTCACTCTGGTTATAATATGAACGCAGTTCATAAATGAAAAAGGAGCACTGACTTCAAAGCAAAGGCTTAACATGACCCAATGCAGAAACTGGATGTAGATTACAACATGTCACTATCTGAAGCAGCATAGATTGGAAGAACTCACCAGAATCATTTTCTGTTTTGGGGACTGTGAAATGGGTTAAACATGGTCTAAATAATAATGAAAAACTGCTTAAATTGTTTTGTTACTTTGTAGGAGAGTGAAATATTTTAAACAATCCAATTTTACATATACTGTATTAACAATTCTCGTTATTGTCTTTAAATAGCTATTCTACAAAGTTTAACAACAAAGTAGTCACAGTCCAAGATGTCACTCCAGAATAGCCTATTAGAGGTGGCAGTATGGTTATATTTGTACTGCAGCCAGTGGACAAACATTAAAGCTGAGATAGTTTAGCTTAAATGTTAAAGCCTATTAGGTGGCAGTATTGTTATATTTGTACTGCAGCCAGTGGACAAACATTAAAGCTGAGATAGTTTAGCTTAAATGTTGGATTATGTAGTGGACATCATTGTTTTCACAATAAATTCATCTGCTTTGTATTTGTTTGATTCACTGATATTTCTCTAAAGATATAAGTACCACAGTATGTTTTATTGTGGTGTTTACAATTCTGCAAAATTACAAAGCCTAAAGTTAACTTGCACAATGAAAATCTGCCCTTCCTGATGATTGGGTCCAATGTTTTTGTTTTAATCCTTATTAGCACAGCCTTTTTTTTTTTTTTTCCCTTCACACAATTGTGTCAGATGTTGCTAATTTGAGCCAGAGAAAGTTACTAAATCAGTTAGTTAGAACATCAAATACTTGGGTGGATAGATACTGCAGCACAGATATGAAACATCACATTTTTGTCTGATGGCTATAAAGCTTGTTGGCAACTTTGTGAAACTGCTGACACAAAAGGCACCCATCAAAGGCCTTTTGTAAGCTAGCATAATAAATACATTCATTACTTTTATTTTGATTTGGTTATTACTCTACTTTTATGTGTGGTGTCCCAGCAAAGTGAAAATAAATTAAAGGAGGGGGGGAAAAAAAAGCAACTGCTAAAATAAGATGTTGCTCAGTGCCGGAATTAACTGAGAACAGCATGTTGTGAGATTATAGAGCTGAGGCTAAACCAGTTTTTATCCTGATCTGAACTTACCAAAAGGAGACTCAGTGTGCCTTTTACCAAGTGATGAGCTATCACCAAAGTGCAAAGATCTGGAGCTAAACCTCTACGCATATCAGGAAGAATTTGAACCAAATAAGCAAGAGTGATGCAAGGCCATCAGCACTTTTGAAGTAAGGAACCAACAAAATATGGTAGGTGGGAAGGCTTATAACTTATGATTTCATGCACTATTTATGCAGTCTGGATTAAAGCACTGTAATACATGGCAAAAGAAGAGGAATTGCCAAGCTTGCCTTCCTGGAAATAGCAACTGCTGGTGGCTAATGGGAAGCAGAGTGGAATTGCCAGATTTGCCATTGACAGCAAGTGTTGCCTATGAGCACCTTATCTACACGGCCCTCGGTTTAGGGTAGTGATGTTCACTACGCTAGTGTCGCAGAAAGTTAACGAGGATGCTGGGCTTCGTAATAAAACAAAGAATATTTCAGAAGAATGTTACATGTACAAAAATATGACTTTAAACTCTGAAAATAAATAAGTTCAGTTTATTAAGAACTGGTGTCAATGCTGAACAAAATACACATCCTCCAGTAAAGAAACATTTTGGTGAACTGTTCTCTTTTTTTTTTTTTCTTCTTTTGTTTTTTGATTTACTAAAATACAAGTTGGACCTTTTTTTTTCTTTTTGCAAATATATTATTTGTCTCCCTTAATTACATGTCCTTATAACTGTGACCGTCATTCTCCTTTAGGCCAAAGACTGAGGTTTGTTGGGGGTTTTTTTAATTCTTAGGAGTCTGGCCACATATGCAGTTTTTTTAAGGGAAAATACTTGACAATGAAAAAAAAAGAAAAATATATTTTTTTTCTAATAAATAAAAATAATTTAAAACGCTAGAGGCTATACCCTTAATTACATGTCCTTATAACTGTGACCGTCATTCTCCTTTAGGCCAAAGACTGAGGTTTGTTGGGGGTTTTTTTAATTCTTAGGAGTCTGGCCACATATGCAGTTTTTTTAAGGGAAAATACTTGACAATGAAAAAAAAAGAAAAATATATTTTTTTTCTAATAAATAAAAATAATTTAAAACGCTAGAGGCTATACATGACTAATTTTGATTATGTTCATTTATAAATGAAATAGTTTCCAAAATACGTGGAAGCAATATTAAAGGCAGACAAACAAAGATCTGTCTACTTTATTTTCCCATTAAGCTTGCCCTTCTTAACTTCTCCATCAGTGGTTCAGCATGTAAGAGGAATAAATGTCACATCACCATTCATGAAGTTTGTCAGGCTGTAAAAAAATAGTTCTGGCCTCGAAGGAGTCAACATTCATCTTCAACTTCTCTGATTGGTGGTATCAAGCTGCTTGTCGATTTATATTGATTGATCTGATTGGCCATGTGAGTGCTCATGGGCTTGATTTGAATGTTTCTGGGATAGGCATTATCCGGCTCATCTGTAAACCATTTCTTTTCTGCTAAGGAGCAAAATGGGTAGAGACAGAATAAGGAGGGAAAATGAGAGTTTTAATTAGTGAAGCACATAAACACATAAACACCAAAAAAAAAAAAAGGGGGGGGGGGGGGGGGGAAATCAGTAAGGT